CTTCTGATGGAAAAAGCTACAAAACCATGTACTCAGTTCATCCTGGCAGCACTAAAATGTATAGGGACCTGAAACCCTATTACTGGTGGCCAACGATGAAGCTTGATATTGCAAAGTATGTGACCGAGTGTGTGACATGTGTTAAAGTTAAGGCACAACATCAGAAACCATATGGGATTTTAGAACCATTACCTGTACCGATGGGTAAGTTGGAAGACATTGCTATGGATTTTGTCATTAAACTGCCCAGAACAAAGAACCGTCATGACATGATTTGGGTGGTCGTTGATCGCTTCACTAAGAGTGCGCACTTCATAGCAGCCACTGAGAAATGGTCTTTGGATAAGCTTGCGAATTCTTACGTGAAAGAAATTGTGAGGCTTCACAGTTTTCCGTTAACAATCGTATCAGATCGTGACCACCATTTCACCTCAAGGTTTTGGAGAAGTCTACAAGAGGAATTGGGTACCAAGTTGTATTTAAGTACAACTTACCATCCACAGACTGATGGTCAGAGCGAAAGAATGATACAAACACTTGAAGATATGCTGAGAGCATGTATTCTAGAATTCCAAGGTAACTGGGATGAACGTTTACCTTTGGTAGAATTTTCCTACAATAATAGTTTCCACTCGAGCATTAAGATGACACCTTATCAAGATATGTACGAACAGAAGTGGCGTACGGCGTCTTGTTGGCTTGAGGCTGGGGAAAAGCTGTTTATGGGACTAGAGATAGTCCATCAAACTACTGAAAAGTTGAAAATAATTAAAGAGAGAATGTTAGCAGCTCAGGATCGTCAAAAGAGCTATGCTGACAACAAGCGAAGACCGATGACTTTTGGAGTTGGGGATTCGGTTTTGCTTCAAGTCTCACCGTGGAAGGGACTTATAAGGTTTGGTAAAAGGGGAAAGTTGAGTCCAAGGTTTATTGGACTGTTTAAAGTTCTTCAGAGGGTTGGGAACCGAGCTTACAAGATCAAATTACCTGTAGAACTGAATGGTATTCATAACACTTTTCATGTGTGTTACTTGTGGAAATTCACGGGAGAAGTTCCCAACATGATTCGACTTTTGGAAGTAAGAAATGATTAGAACAAGAGGTTAATTGAAGAACTAGAGGCAATCATTGACCGAAAGACTAAGAAGTTGCGACGCAAGATGGTCGAGTTAGTGCTTTTCCGTTGCAAACATACGAATGGGCCAAATCTCACCTGGGAGACAGATAGTGACATGATGAGTCACTATCTGTATTTGTTTGTTGATGTGTAATCTCGGGGACAGAATCATCCTAAGGTGGAGAGAATTGTAACGCCCGTTTTTCTTGGCTAGGCATTAATGACGATGTAATAGTCTAGGTTAACCTTTGTAAACCGTTGGTGAAATAATAAAAATATACTATTTTGAGTGTTATGTGTTCTACGCTTAATTGTGTGAATTAAATGAATTAAGAAAAAGAATAAGCGTAATAATAAAATATTACATAAGCCCGACATCTATACATGAAGTTGTAGTGGTCGTTACGAGAATTCTGAATATATAAAGAATGCTGAAATTCGAGTTATAACGAAGAAGTTATGACCTGACGAAGTTTCGCGATAGAACCGATACGACGATGATTGACGTAAAATGTGAATTTATGATAGAGTGAATTTTAGCCATAGTGATCTAAACGGAAGTCTTAGAGTTCATTAAACCGAGAGCGTGCATAAAAAGAACGTCTAAATTTGACTTCGTATGAGGAAGTTAGGATTTTTCGAAGTTTCGACTTAGTGGTATGCAACCCAAAGTTCGAATATGAGATCAAGTGATTTTTAGCCGAAACAATTTAAACGAGGATCAAAGATCTCGTCGATAGTAATGCAACAGTAAAAAGACAGACGAAAACGATCGTCAGACGAAGAAGTTATGAATTTCTAACAGAGTTTTCCTATCCCGGCCTGTTAAAAATATAATAATAAAAATAAATCAAAATTAGCCGACGGGGTCTAAATAAAAGTTGTAGAGCATACTCCCACCTACGCGTGGATATCAAGAACCTCAAAAACGGAGCTCGTATGCGAAAGATACGAATTTTTGAAGTTTGAGAAATGGGAGTACGACCAGCGTACTCATGATTCATGGGCTGAATTGGGCCACGTCGCCTTACTCCATCACTCGAGTGTCTCGGGTCTGAGACCTTGACGCATCTGATCTGATCCGCTTAGTATGCCCAACGTATCAGGTGCACGCCCAACGTAATCCGATGCTCAGCACCCTATAAATAGAACACTAGGTCAGCTGAGTTTAGTTTCTCAAATACTTCTCTCATACCCATATTACCTCGATTTACGTGCTAGTTATACCCCCTGAAGCCCCGATATCATCTCGAATCCCAAATCAAGTCCCAGCGCTCTGAAGATCTGGAGAAAAAAGAGTTTCGAGCCGAAGCTCTACCCGCAAGAAGCCCAGTTTTTGTGCAGATCTCCCGGTTTCACCGAAGAATACTACTTTTAGAGCCGTAATGTTGTCCGATAATCATCTTATCAAATAAATGTATATTCCTTTTCTTTTTAACACATAGATACGAAGTATTCTCTACAAAGTACTTGTTATGTGTTTGTATATTATTTGCTTATTTAAAATAATTTTTGAATGAATGATTTGTACAAGTTTTAAGCTGTATATGAATCTATATATTTTTATCTACTAATATGTTGGGTAGAACATGGGTAGGCAGTTGTTGTGTGATGAAATAAAATGATGAGAGACCTTGATATTATTGTTGATCTAGTCATCTAGCGGAGTATGGATGACGACCACAGACTCTTTCTAGACAGTCCACTGGAACGCTGGCAGGTTCATAACTTGTGGGTGTTGTGAACGTTGTGTTCACCGGTGTATTCTATCCCCTCATGGTTGCCTTTAGGACATCTACTGTTTAGGAAACCCCTTTACATTAATGTTCGTCCCGATGAAAATCCTAGATTAGGTCCCTTGTGATAGTTGTTGTTTTCGAGACGTAAAGTGAGGATAACGGGAATGAGTAATCGGGTTATTGTTGGTTGGTGAAAATTAAATATCATTATTTATTGTGGGTTGAAAACCCTATATGCTAACGAGACTCCCAAGCCTGACCCACTCAGTTTTATTTGTATTACAGGTAGTGGTGCGAGAGTATAAGTTGGACAACTTGTGAATATATTTTGTTTATAGGCCAGCAGTTACATATAATTGTTGTAAGACTTATAATGTGTCGTTTATGCTTTTGGTATTTATCGGAACATGACATCCCGAGTTTTGTTTTATATAAAAATACATTTTTTTAAGGAATGCTTTGATAACTTTTATTTATCATATTTTGTTTTGGGAACAAATTCCGCAACTCTTTAAAATCAAATGATTATCCTGAAAATTATTTTAAAAAGCATAAATTAAATCGGTGTTTTCTGGCCGTGATTTTGAGGATATCACAATTCCGCAGTCAAACCCAATCAACTTAGTAGTAATAATAATAATAATAATAATAATAATAATAATAATAATAATAATAATAATAATAATAATAATAAAACTCAAAACCAGGGATGGAAAACGAGAGGAAATCGCAGATAGACTATGTCCATCTGCGATTTTAACTAGAAAAAGAACCTATTTATTCGGAAAAAAAAAACCACTTTCGAATATAGAAGTTGCTAAAGCACACTTGTGTTTTAGCTACTTGTATATTATCAGGTGGCTTTTTGAAATCGCACATAGCTTTGTTCCATCTGCGATTTTACTGGTTGAAATTGTAATTTTGGTTTTTTTTTTTTTTACTATTTTGTACAAAATAATTAGTGTAGTTGGTTAAATTTACAATTTTCTTAATAAAAAATTCTTGTAGTGTATTTATTAGTAAACCTTTTGTATTAAAGTATAGTAATATTCAAACAATATATCAATTTTAAAGAAATAAATAAGTGCTATCCCTTGGTTGACAAGCAAACAAAAATCTATAATTAAAGTCTTGTGTGTCTATGGCTATAATTAAATAATTGCTACCTTGTTGGTGTGGTCGGTTTTCTTCCATTTACAATTTGCTTTTCCTTCACGCCAAACCGCCTCCCTCATATCTTAAAAGTTATTATGGGATCAAATCTCCACAATCACACATCTTTATCTTTACTTTATTGTTTATTTACCTTAAAATTGTTCATTTAAATAATAAAATGCAACTCAAACTCTTTTTCTCATCGTTAGCAAACATTAATATGACGAATAAGAGTACGTCCCACAACAAGCTTTAAGTAGCTTTTCTAAGCTTTTAATGTTTAATTTTTCTTTGTATTTAAAAAAATATTAAATTATGAAAAGTCTTTATTCGATAGTGGTGACACAAAATGTTTATTTTGGATCAAATATAAAATAATAATGACACTAATATTTCAAAAAGTTACACCTTAGTAGAAAAAAATACACTAACGGGCTAAAACCGAATAATAGCTTGGGATCCCAGGAAACTACTTGAGTTCGCCCATCGAAATACAACTTAAATATTTTACTTTAAATAAATAAATAAATAACTTTTAGGAACTTTCAATTATTATATTTTATATATTTCAAGATTTTACACATTTTTTTACTAACACAAATAAAAGTTATATTTTTCAATTTCTAACTTCCACCTAGCAACCATAAGTTTTCGGGAAAACGACTTATTAAGGTAACTAACCATTTCGATTGTCCATATATAGGTAATGTTTTTTTTTGTACACATTATTGAAACTAACTTGTTTTGTTTGTTCACATTTAGGTAATATGATCGGCTATCACCTGTTTTCACATGCTTTACCTGGTAGCATCGATTAACCTCAGTTAAAGTGAAATACGTGGATTCTTACGTGGACATTACACTTGTTTCTCATTTAATTAGGGTTCAACAAGTTCAATTTGTCCGAAATCACCTCCTGATTAGTATCGATTCATCAAATTGAAAATTAGAGTTTGGAGTTGAAGCTACGTGTTGAAGTTGACTATAAGATGGCGTCCCCATCATCTATACGTAAGTATCTAACTGTAGATGTTCATTACAGGGGACTATTTGCCCCAAATCCGTTGAAATACTTAGACCCCGAAACAATAATAGTGTGTGATGTTGATTTTGGAGGATTTACGTATAAAGAGTTTCTTTTATGGCTTAGGGATTTAACCAAAGAAAGTTGTAATGATGTGTATTATTATAGTAGAAAGGAAACGTTAGCTGAGAGTATTATAAGAATCGACAGTGATGTTGATTATTGGGAGTTTGTTGAGCTACATATACTCCTGAAGCTGAGTTGGATGTCTACATTGACTACCAAAAAGAACCAATCCTTGATTAGGCTGACAATGAGGTGTTATCAGATGGTAACAAGTATGATTTGGAGGACAAGGAAGAAGAGGATGAAAGTGATAACTTAGATGATATTATGGCATATGAACATGAAGTTCATGAAGAAGACACCTTTAACAAAGCTGTTGGTGACGATTTTTTAAACAAAATTTCAGGTATTGGGAACCTCAATGATGATGATGAACCTAATGATGGGATAGATGATAAGGTTGTATTTGTTGGAATAGTGTCTAAGGCTGCAACTATATTAGGTAAGTATTTGACCCGATTGAGCATGGTCCTTTTGGGTTGCCTTCACCATAGCAACTTGATAGGATGATTTACAATGAGAGTTGAAATATTATAAGGAATAATAATATTGTTATTTGATTAATATAAGTCATAAATTAATTAGGAATTAATTTGGTGACATAAGGAGATTAATTAAATAGAAGGGCATAAACTGTCAAGTGTATGATAGTTATACTTTAGGCTATAATCCCTTTATGGATAATGGGGTGGACGATTTTAGGGGCTTAGGATAGACCTAAAGTCCGTCCAAGGCTTATCATAAAGGGGATTAGGATTGCTTAGGGCCTAAGTTATCCAATTAGGGTTTAAAGGTGAAACCTTAAGAGCTTTACAAGTATAAATAGACCCTAGGGGTCATGGAAATCGGCACCCTTGTCACTAAAGGAACCCTGGCCGATTTCTAAGTCCCTCCCCACTCTCTCAAATCATTCTCTTGCTAGTTGGTGTTTGTAAGCCATTAGAGGAGTGCCAATTGTGACTCTAAAGCTCCAAGGACAAGAAGATCAAGCAAGTGATTCAAGGTAAACTTATAACTCTGATTTCTCTTTGTTATTATAATAGAATAACCATTAGAAGTCTTGGATTCATGCATGTTGAATTAGAGAAACCTAGATCCAAGCATTAGGGTTTGTATGTGCACATAGGAATGTTCATATGGCCAAAACCCATCAGTGGTATCAGAGCATAGATTGGTTTCTATTGAGTTGATGCATAGGTTGCTTGTTTGATGCTTGCAAAATTCGAATTTTGTGTTCCTGCCTGATGAACTCGGCGAGTCCATTGTGGTACTCGGCGAGTTCGAGCGTCAGAAAGAGCTAATTTCGTGATTTCTTGTTGTTTATCCTTTGGATACTTACCTTAATCATATTAGGTCAATATAAATCCGATTTTAAGATATATTTGAGTATGTCCTTGACCTAATTGAAGATATTTATCAATTAATTAAATATCAGTTTCCTTATGTGATAATTGATTAATTATTTTAATTAAATTGGTAAATTGTTTTGCAAGAAATAATTAAATAAATCAAATATGGATAATTATGTGATTAAATGTTAATTTAGATTATTTGTTATTTGATCCCCTATGTTTTGAAAAGTTTAAAACCTGCCCTCAATTTTTGAAATTTATGCTTTGTGATTAAAAGTTTAATTTGGATAATTTAAATTTCAAACGCTAGAATTTTACAAGTTTAAAATTCAACCCTATACTAATATAATATTACAAGATTAATATATATATATATATATATATATATATATATATATATATATATATATGTGTGTGTGTGTGTGTGTGTGTGTCTATATATATATATATATATATATATATATATATATATATATATATATATATATATATGTATATATATATATATAATATATATATATATATATATATATATGTATATATATGTATGTATAATTAAAATGCTAGTCTTACTGTTAGTAGACCTCATTCACGAAGCCGGTCTATAAGGTGGGTATAAGGTTGCTGCCTATAAAATGGCGCTTAATGGGTGTACACTCACACCCACCACTTGCTTGATCGGTGGAGGGTCGTTAGCCGAATGGGTAGGATAGGGCAACCTTATCTCCTCATTAAAAGTATAATATGAAATACAAAGTAACTACATGTTTTTCAAAAATTCCCAATCCTAGTTACTTTAGGAAAAGTGAATTGATGCAATCCCATGAAATTACACTTTGCACCCTTGCTAAGAAGTTAGTGGAGCGTGTGTGGTTTACCAGCACACTAATTGGTTCTAAGGAAAGGTGGCAAAGGGTGGTTCATTTTTTATCATAGTTCGATGGAGCGTGTGTGGTTTACCGGCACATCGAATAGGTGATTGTAACAATGAAGGCACCATGTGAATTTTCATGGTAATTCACACCCACTTTATGATACTCGGTATCCCAGTCACAAACGAGAGGGGCATATCGAGATTTAAACATGCCATTGAAATGTTTCAATAAATCTCATCCAAACCTAGGAATTCTCAATACATTTAGAAGTTAAAGTTATGTTTTCATTATGGAGAATTAGTGAATCATCATTCACTTACCTTCAAATTGTTTGCATGTTAGATTACGGCATCCCTTTTCTAATATGTAAATATTGTTGTTGGATCCTAGCCCTAATTTTCTTATTGGGTGATAATTAGGGATCTAAATTCTAATCTATCTTTATCCTTTCTATTTGTAGATGTCGAACGCGAACAACGCTTCTGCTAGCTCGTTCACATTGATGAGCCTTTACCAAAAGGTGACTTTCGATGGAACGAACTTTAGCGAATGGATAAGATACATTCGCACGATTGCTCACTACGAGGACAAGGAGTATGTCCTCGATGAAAAGCTCGAGAAGATCAATCCTGAAATAGCTACTCCGCCTGAAATCACCGCTTTTGAAACTCATGAGCGTGATGCAACGAAGGTTCATTGCATCATGATAGCCACTATGAAGTCCGAATTCCAAAAGTCCTACGAGGATATGTATCCGTACGAAATGCACCAAGACTTGTTGGAGAGATACCACCAAAATGCGAGGCAAGAACGTTACGAGATCTTCACTAACATGATCTCCGCTAAAATGGGTCATGGTGAATGTAGACCATCTTCGCAAGTTGAATGTTGACTTTGGGGAAGACTTAGCGATCGATATGGTGCTTCAGTCCTTGCCTCCGTGTTACAACCAATTTAGGATGACCTACCACATGAACAAAGAAGAGGTCACCCTATGTAAGCTCCAAGGTCTCCTTAGGGTTGCTGAGAGCAATCTCAAGGACAAGTCCGTTGCACCCACTCCCAATCCACCCGCTGCTCCTATTTTGGCCATTGGGCAAGGAAGAGGCAAGAAGAGGAAGGCTCCATCTAAGAGCCACCGCAAGGGAAAGTCCCGAGATGGTTCATCCTCTAGTGGGACCAAAGTTGATCCCGCTAAGCCTAACTCTAACCCAAAGGAGACAGAGTGCCACCACTGACACAAAATAGGGCATTAGAAGAGAAGCTACCCAGAGTACCTGCAAGCTATCAAGGAAGGAAAGATCAAGCCGTCTTTCGCATGTATATATATAATTAAATCTAATGATTCATCTCATGCTATTTCTTGGGTCCTCGATACTGGGTGTGGTTACCACATTTGTTCTGAATTGCAGGGACTAAGAAGAAATAGGGATGTGGAGCATGGAAGAATAAATCTAATCATGGGGAACAGAAGATCGTCGCCTGTGACCAAGATTGGAGTGTATTCTCTAGTGCTTAGGAATGGTTTATGTTTAGATTTGAACAATTGTTGCTATTCGCCAGAAATAGCAAGAAACATCATTTCATTTCATGGTTTGTTTAGACAAGGATTTAGATTTTCTTTTAATAATGAGAATGGTTCTATTTGTGCTTATCTAAATGGTGTCTTATATTTTGAAGCAATACCATGTAATGGAATTTATGAAACTATTATGATTGTAGATAACCTAGGAAATGATGTTTTATGCATGGATTCTTCAAATAGTATGGATAGAGCATCCTTGTGGCATTGTCGTCTTGGACATGTCAACAAGAAGCGCATAGCCCAACTCCAAAAGGATGGAGTGTTGGAGTCATTCGACCTTAGGGAAGATGACACATGCGAATCTTGTTTACTTGGAAAGATGACCAAGTCACCCTTCACTAGCACATGTGAAAAGGGTGAGGGTCTATTGGACCTAATACATACAGATGTATGTGGACCGTTTAGATCAACCACAAAGGATGGGAACCGCTTCTATGTGACTTTTACCGATGACTATAGTAGATATGGGTATATCTACTTAATCAAGCAAAAGTCAGAAACATTTGAAAAGTTCAAAGAGTTCAAGAATGAAGTAGAGAATCAATTGGGCAGGAAAATCAAGATGCTTCAATCCGATCGAGGATGAGAGTACCTAAGTCTTGAATTCCACGACTATCTAAAAGAGTGTGGAATAGTTTCACAATTGATGCCACCTAGGACACCACAACTGAATGTTATGGAAAAAAGGCGTAATCGAACCTTGTTGGACATGTTCCGCTCTATGATGAGTCGTGCTTCACTATCTATCTCATTATGGGGGTATGCCTTAGAGACTGTCACTCATATCCTAACCAAGACCCTACTAAGAAGGTTGTCAAAACACCTCACGAGATGTGGACAGGGAAAGCTCCCTCATTAGCACATATCAAGGTTTGGGGTTACGAGGCTTTCGTAAGATGAGATACTCAAGGTAAACTCGAACCTCGTAGTGAGCGATGTATTTTCATCGGCTACCCGCAGAAATCCTTTGGATATCTCTTCTATAGACCGAAGGACAATGTTGTCTTTGTTGCGAGGAGATGAGTTTTCCGAGAGCGAGAACTCATAAGCCAAGGAGACAGTGGGAAGCAAATCGAGCTGTAAGAGATTCAAGAGTCGATAGATGAAGGAACCTCTACCGCTGGCCCTCAACCTGAGGAGGAAACTTCGGTTGAGCCGATTGATGAGTCCTTACCTCTTAGACGTTCCGAAAGAGTTAGAGTTCAACCCCAGTTATATGGTTTTCATATTACTATCGAAGGGGACACATATATTAGTGATAGTACTCTAATAAATCTAGATGAACCTAATAGCTATAAGGAAACCATGGCAGGCCCGGAGTCTGCGAAATGGAAAGAGGCAATGGACAGCGAGATCCAGTCCATGTATGACAACCAAGTTTGGAATTTGGTTGATAACGTGCCCGGACGTAATATCGTTGGGTGCAAATGGATCTTCAAGAAGAAGATCGATGCGGATGGAAACATACACACATATAAGGCGCGATTGGTTGCGAAGGGTTTTACTCAAAATCCCGGAGTTGACTATGATGAGACCTTCTCACCAGTTGCGAAGATAAAATCTATTAGAGTGATGCTAGCAATTGCCGCATTTCATGATTATGAGATTTGGCAAATGGATGTCAAAACCGCTTTCCTTAATGGAAAGTTGGTTGAGGATGTTTACATGGCTCAGCCAAAGGGTTTTGTTGATCTGAAGCATCCAAATAGAGTGTGTAAGCTTGAGAAGTCCATTTATGGACTTAAGCAAGCGTCTCGCAGATGGAATCTTTGCTTCAATGAGAAAGTCAAAGAGTTTGGATTTGTACGAAGTGAAGATGAATCATGTGTATATGTCAAAGCCAGTGGGAGTATAGTTAGCTTTCTCGTTTTGTATGTCGATGACATACTGCTCATAGGAAACGACATCCCGACACTGCAGGAGATTAAGTCCTGGCTCGGGAAGTGCTTTGCTATGAAGGACCTCGGAGAGGCTTCCTATATTCTGGGAATAAGGATAGTGAGAGAACGAAGTAAGACACTAATAGGACTTAGTCAGAACACTTACTTAGATAAAGTACTAAAACGTTTTAGTATGGAAAACTCGAAGAAGGGAGAATCACCGATACAATATAATGCCAAGTTGAGTAAGACTCAAAGTACAAGTACCGAAGCCGAAATAGCATAAATGAGCCGAGTACCATACGTTTCTGCAGTTGGCTCAATCATGTATGCTATGACCTGTACTCGCCCTGATGTAGCCTTTGCTTTGAGCATGGTTAGTAGATATCAAGGGAACCCTGGTAGAGCCCATTGGATTGCGGTGAAGAATATCCTTAAGTACCTTCGGAGGACCAAGGAATGGTTTTTAGTCATCGGAGGGAGTGATGACTTGAAGGTGTGAGGGTATAGTGATGCCAGCTTTCAGACCGACAGGGACAACTACCATTCGCAGTTGGGTTGGGTCTTTACCCTGAATGGAGGAGCAGTAACTTGGAAAAGTTCCAAACAAGAAACCATAGCTGATTCAACGTGCGAATTAGAGTACATCGCAGCGAGCGAAGCGTCGAAAGAGGCAATATGGTTAAAGAACTTCATTGGTGATCTTGGAGTTGTACCTACCATAAAGGAGCCCATGGAGATTTTCTGTGATAATGAAGGAGTGGTTTCCTTAACCAAGGAACCAAGGGATCATGGTAGATCTAAACATATCGACAGAAAATATCATTTTATAAGACATTGTGTAGAAGAAGGAAAACTCGTGGTCAAGAGGATATCATCAGAAGATAACCCATCAGATCCGCTTACGAAGGGATTGAGCAGGGTTAAGCACTTGCAGCATGCTAGGAGCATTGGGTTGAAGGATGATATTAGTATAGATTAGATAGTGTTAGAAACGCGTGATAGATGAATGTAATTAACATTCGATGATTAAATAAAAGAGTATTATTTATGAGTAATGTTACTATCTTATGTTAATTGTTTAACTATTGTTTCATTTTGCATGTTTTGACTTCCAGAATAATTGAGTTTATTAATAATAATTGAATTATTGAAATTGTCCACAATCGTTCATATGTTGGAAGTAGGTATGAATGAAGATTGTCATGAATTGGTGTGTAGATTGTCTAAATGGTATTAGACATAGCAAAAGTTTTTTGCAACATTCATGAGTGCTTATGAACAAGTTTTGAGCATTGGAACAAACCCGCGCTTGCTGGAATCACCTTATGGAATGTGATAAAAGGGTGATCGCAAGACGATAATATCATATGGTCTTAAAACCTAGATATATGGTTTGTTATTTGTTAATTGGTTGTACATTGATAATGCGAAACCGCATCAGTAACTTGATGTTATAAAACGCATTGTTATGTATAGTTGATTAATGAATAAGTAAATGCATATAAGTTGAAGTTTATCTGTTACTTTTATCCTAAGAGGGTAAAAGCGATATCTCGGCTGCTCGATGATTTGATTTGACTTATGTGTCGGGCCCGGTCAGAACTAAATTGATGTGTTTGATTAAGTTCTATGTCGAATAAATCTGAGATCGAGAAAACAAATGCTAGACAATTAGTTCCATTTGATTGACAGCATGATATCTATACAGAGGACTGTACGATCCCTTATCTAAAGTACAAAATTGATTAGATCAAAGTTTGACAGCATCTTTGAGAGCTACGATTGCTAATCGATATATATAGTTACTAGACTTATCCAAGTGAGAGACTGTTGGAATAGTGTCTAAGGCTTCAACTATATTAGGTAAGTATTTGACCCGATTGAGCATGGTCCTTTTAGGTTGCCTTCACCATAGCAACTTGATAGGATGATTTACAATGAGAGTTGAAATATTATAAGGAATAATAATATTGTTATTTGATTAATATAAGTCATAAATTAATTAGGAATTAATTTGGTGACTTAAGGAGATTAATTAAAAAGAAGGGCATAAACTGTCAAGTGTATGATAGTTATACTTTAGGCTGTAATCCCTTATGGATATAGGGGTGGAAGATTTTAGGGGCTTAGGATAGACTTAAAATCCATCCAAGGCTTATCATGAAGGGGATTAGGATTGCTTAGGGCCTAAGTTATCCAACTAGGGTTTAAAGGTGAAACCCTAGGAGCCTTACAAGTATAAATAGACCCTAGGGGTCATGGAAATCGGCACCCTTGTCACTAAAGGAACCCTGGCTGATTTCTAAGTCCCTCCCCACTCTCTAAAATCATCCTCTTGCTAGTTGGTGTTTGTAAGCCATTAGAGGAGTAACAATTGTGACTCTAAAGCTCCAACGACAAGCAGATCAAGCAAGTGATTCAAGGTAAACTTATAACTCTGATTTCTCTTTGTTATTATGATAGAATAACCATTAGAAGTCTTGGATTCATGCATGTTCAATTAGAGAAACCCAGATTAAAGCATTAGGGTTTGTATGTGCACATAGGAATGTTCATATGGCCAAAACCCATCAGTATTCTCTGTCCATGATGAGAAACAAGAATAGGATAAGATGGTGCCAGTTATAGGTATGAAGTTTGGTAACCCAATCCAATTGAAGCTATGTGTAACCAATTATGCAGTGAAGAATGAGTATGATTTATGGTATGAAAAAAGTGATCATAACAGGTTACTGGTGAAATGTTGCAAAGGTAAGAAGAATAAGAATAATAAAGGTTGTCCCTTTAGGTTGTGGGTAAGCTGGATGACCAATGAAAGGTCATTCCAGATTAAATCTTTAATTGATAACCATAATTGCTCAAGAGTATACAAATTTGGATCAATTGTTAGCTATAAATGGATAGGGAATCATTTCATGAATGAGATACTCTAGAAACCAAAGATGAGTGTGAGTAAATTAAAAGGCTAAAGTTAGCAGGAGGTTTAATTTGATTGGAAGTGTGGGACAGTGCAGAAATGCTAGGAGGTATGCATTTAAGGAGATAGAGGGTACTTTAATGGAACATTGTGCTAAATCTTAGAGCTATGGAAAGGAGCTAAGAAGGACTAACCCTGGAGCAACAGTGAAGATCGATGTGGATGTGATGCCTGATGGAACCACTTACTTCTTAAAGTTCTATGTATGTTTAAAGGATGTGAAGGACGCATGGATTCAAGGTTGTAGGAGGGTAATTGGACTAGATGGCTGCTTCTTAAAAGGAATTTATAGAGGTTAGTTGTTTGTTGCTGTAGGTAGGGATGCAAACAACCATAGTTACTCTATTTCTTGGGTTGTGGTTGTAGTGGAGAGTAAAGAAACATGGAAGTGGTTTGTTGACCTTATCCTTGATGACATTGAAATGGGAAATGGGCATGTATTAACATTAATATCAGACCAACACAAACTAATGATTTTATCTACTCTCTTTATTTCATACTTAATTTATATGAAGCTTATGTTTTATTTATAATGCTTAAAGTGATTACTTGAAGCTGTCCAGGAAATGGTGCCTGCAGCAAAGCATAGAGCCAGGCACATATGTGCTAACTTTTTGAAAAATTTTAAGGGGCAACAGTGCAATAAACTTTTCTGGTATGCTGCTGCTTCTACTACCCAGGCTAAATTTGAGCAGCATATGAATGAAATCAAGAAGTTAGAACCACTTGCCTATGATCATCTGATGGAGAGGGGCCCTAAAACTTGGAGTAAGGCATTCTTTGAGACTGATAGGGCATGTGATGCATATGAAAATGGTGTATCTTAGAGTTTTAACTCAGTGATTGATGATGCCAGGAAGATACCTCTAATCAATATGTTAGAGGAAATTAGAATTTATGTTATGGAGAGACTTTGTATATAGAAAAGTAAGGGAAGTTCTTGGCGAGACTTACACATATGTCCTTCCATTAGACTGAAGTTGTCTAAGATTACGACACTTCAAAGGATAGTGGTTGTACCATCTGGTTATCATTTTTTATACTTACATATATATATATATATATATATATATATATATATATATATATATATATGAGTGTGTGTGTGTGTGTCATTTAGTTGTTTATACTTACATTTATATGTGTGTGTCGATAGATTTTGGAGAGTTGTACCTTCTGGTTATCAAGAATTTGAAGCGAGGCTTGGATATGATGCATATTCTATAGACCTTGGTAGGAAGACATGTACATCTAGAGCTTGGCTATTAACTGGTTACCCTTGTGTGCATGCATATGCTGCCATTTCAAACCTCAATAGGGATCCAGAGGACTATGTATCACCATTGTTGACCACAACAATGTTTGGTAATGCATATATGTACCCCATTAAGCCACTCAATCGTAGTGATATGTGGCTTGATGTTGATTACATCAAGCCATTGAATCCTAAAAAGAGAAGGATGCCAGGAAGACCATCAACAAAAAGGAAAAGGGGTCAAATTGAGAGGGAACTAAAGGGCAATAAGCATACAATCTAAAAAAGGGTTATGGTCATGAGATGCAGGATATGTAGGGAAACAGGGCATAATAAAACCAAATGTCCTAAAAAACCAATTGGGGAATTATCTAACCCACAACCAAAGTCAAATAAAAAACCAAAGTAAAAAAAAGCCAAAAAAGAAGGTATGTGTTCTCATTTACATTTTGATTACAATAAAACAGTTTGTAGTGCTAACATTTAAATTATTTCATAATAGGTAAAGTGAAGGTTGAATTGACTCAAGAAGTTGATGTGGCAAGTGATAGTGATAGTGATAATGAAGTTCAAATGGAGCCTGATAGTGAGGTGGAGTCTTATGAAGTTGATTTTGAAGAGGATATTCATAGATATGAAGATGTAGACCAACGTGAGGTTGAAGCTGAAGCTCAAGGATAAGGTGAAGGTGTAGTTGGAGGGATTGAAGAACAGGTTGAAGTTGAAACACAAGTTGCGTCGATGCTCAAGATGGTGAAGACTAGGCTACAGTTGAAGTTCAAGGACAGGGTGAAGGTCAAGAAGGTGAAGAACTTGCTATACTTCAAGATCCAATTGGACCGGATGACCAAGGACAAGATGCAGTTCAAGATCTAGTAGAAGAGGAGCATATGCAAGAAGTACCAGCATTTCAAATTCTACAGGGAAAGAGAAGAAGGAAACCTTCAGAAAGAATCATGAAAATTCAGATAAGAAAGAAGTGGGAAGGGAAACAGTGGAGTAGTGGTGAAAATCTAATGGAATTGGAATAGAATTTGGCATCATTGAATGGGAATATTTTGTCTAGTTATATGTGTAGCTTTTGGACTTTTATCTAGTCATATGTGTTTTGGAATCTTGTGTGTACCTTTTGGCAGTATTGCATGTGTAACTGTGTTAAAACTAACTTATGGCACATCTTTTCTAAACAATGTTTCCTAGGAATCCAATGTTTGCTTTAATTACATTCCAATGTTTGATTATATTACATTCTCATGTTTGATTATATTACATTCCCATGTGTCCTTATATACCATTCCAGTGTTTAACTATATACCATTCCAGTGTTTAATTATATTTCATTCTAATACAAAAGTTCCATTCATTACATCAGAAGTAAAAACATGTAACATAAGTTTGTTGCTTTAATTACATACATAAGCATACACAAGAACATGTGGACTACATCATTCTTATACCGATCAAGTTTCATTCATGAACTACATCATCCAACCATTATACATCATGAACAACATCATTCAACCCTAATACGTCAAATCAACATTTTCACATACAATACAAATAACAAAATCAGTGCCACTGTGTGTAGGGGTGTTTACGGGGCGGTTCAGATCGGATAATAATAAAACTATGAACCGTGAGAATGGGGCGGGTATCTTGCTAGCACTAACCGTAACCGAACCGAATTGCTAAAAAAACCGAACCGTATAAGGGCGGGTAACCACGGTTTAGTTCACGGGTATCCGTTAAATATAAAAAATAAGAATCAATCAAAACTACAAACTCCATTTCAACAATTATTTTTCTGAAAATAAAACCAATTCTTTAATTATAAATAATAAATACTTTTAAAATTATAAAACCAATCATCAGTTCTGGATTTAAGTAGACACAATGGTGCAAACTGATATAAATTCTTTGATATAATGATATTCAATATTTATTATTTGTTGTTTTTTTACATGTGGCCTCAAAATATTTATCAGTTCTTGGATGTTCAAATTACAATAAAAATATAACCAATTCTAAATTCTCGGTTTACACATGAAAAATATAGTATAACCAATTCTAAGTTCTTGGATGTTCAAATTTCAATCAAATATATAAATCTAACCAATTGTAGTTTTTCGGTATATGCATGAAAAATATAGTATATTTTAATTTCTCAGCTTAACCAATTCTAATTTCTTGGTTTGTGCATACTGTTTAGTGATTGAAGGGTTTATAATCGTTACTAAATTGTCATGTAAAATAAATAATGTTCTTAAAGGATATATATATATATATATATATATATATATATATATATATATATATATATATATATATATATATATATATATATATATATATATATGACGGTTCGGTTCGGGTATCCGCGGATATTGAAATACCTAAACCGAAGCCGACCCGTAGGTACCCGGTTTTTTCAGTTTCGGTTTATTTCTGTTTCGGTTTTTTCGGTTTCGGTTTTTTTTTTCGGTTTCGGATTGACCGGATCGGCTTGGTTTTTCGGTTTTGCGGTATTTTTTGAACACCCCTAGCTGTGTGAGTAAACAACTTCCACTTCACTTTGTCTAATTCTTGTCTATTAACCAAATTGGTGTTGTTTTGTTGTTCGATCTTCATCCTACATATGCTGATTTCATTCTCCAAAGTGCAAATTTTCAAGGTTTGCAGCTTTCTTCTGGTTTCCTCCTATAAGAACTTCTTCCATCTGTCCTCCCTTCATCCTCATCCAACCATTGTAGAATTTACAACTTGGACTTTTTCCATTCTTGAACAAAAAGAAAAAAATGTTAAATTAAAGGATGAAGAAGAAGAAAGTTGCAACATATTCAACAATATTGATTTATCATCGAGTTTTGACAAACTCTAAATTTTCTTCCAGGGTTCTCAGGAGTTTTTGAAATCTTCACATGAGATGGTAAGTCGCAATCACATGGATGATCAGCTTGAAATTCATCTTGTCGTTTTGAAGAATAAGATAAGGAAGAAGAAGCCATCTTCGATCGATCTAGGGTTTAGAATCAGGGGTGTAATCGTATGACACAATTATAGTGAAATCGAATGACGACAATATATGCACCATGCCACGTAGGTGCAATGTATTCAAGTCATATGCCAGATGGATGTCACATAAGCAAAAACATGTGATAGCTGGTCATATTACTTAAATATGAACAAACAAAAAAAAGTTAGTTTCATTAATGTATACAAAAAAAGAACATTACCTATATATGGACAACCAAAATAGTTAGTTACCTTAATAAGTCATTTTCCCTATGTTTACGTTTTTAGCTATCATTTACCAACTTCCAGTATCATTTAGTTTCTTCCTAAGTTTTATTTGACTTTGTTCAAATTCCAATAAAACTTAGGTCCAAAAATATGTCAAAAAGATTTATCCTCGACACCCTTCTCAATTCTTTGCCTATTTTATCTGGGTAATATTTAGGATTCATCGTGTGGCATGCCTTTTACCACCGATAATAATATGTGGTGTGTGTTGTCGTGGTGTTTGCCACTACTTGATTGTTTTTTTTTACCGTATGCAATTGAAGAACTCAGAAATAACCAACAACTAATAAGAAAGAGACAGTTAAACAATATTTTTATTCAACACACTTTTTTTATTGATAGACAACAATTGTACCATACCCTACTCATAGATGGATATTGGCAAGAATGGTAAAAACTTATGTGGTGCTTATGTGACATTTATTTTTCATATGTAAAAATACCACGACACTCTTCAACCTTATTATAGTCATTCGGTAGATGCATGATAACCTTCGATTTGTCTAATGATTTAACGTGATTTTAATTAATTTATCTTGCAATCATATGGTGTTTTTGTGTAATTCTTTGTTAGCTATGTTGAAGTCTTGAAGAGAATTATGATACCTTTGCGCAACCCAATCCTATAATTCTTCTTCTTATTATTATTATTATTTTGGAAAAACAAATCTAACCTAAGCAAAAAATATCCAATTATACATATATCCAAGACGAGACTTGAACTCAATCTCAAAGAAAAAGAACACTACGTGATACTAATATGTTAGTCATACTTAATTCTATAAACGATACTAAAACTTATATTGTTTTTCTTTTCTATTTGTTTATATTAAATGGTTTACCTACTTCCATGTTCGTTTTTTTATGACAACCGTGCATATGACTTGGCAATTTAATTTCTTTTTGACAAGACTTCACATATCATTGTGGATTGAGATAAGTGCGATGTCACCTTGTTCTGAAAAAAGTTGGTTGATCACGCTCAATGAAAACAAAGATATCTCATAAGTCAATGGGTGTTTTTCCCCTCATCATTGCATTTTGTGAGGTGGATCTTTTAGTTAGACTTATGTGTATGTTTTCCTTTTCGGAAATTTCGAAGGTGTTTTAATGTGTAAAGCGTATTCGTTAATTGGTTGAGGGGTGTTTACCCGTGTTGTCAATTTATTATTTGCTTATCATGATTTTAAGCAATGGATAAACGGACTTTAGTATTGTTGGAAACAAGCCAAATAAAACATATAATTTGCAGGAGTTTAATAGAGAAGAAGGGTTGCATACACGAAACACAATTCATTATTAATTACTGCAACCAACGGAACACTACATCGACACATATATCCCAATCAATGCACCGATCAAATGAAACTGATTTAAACCAACACAATCGTTCAAACTAATTGGTCTAGAAGCAATACCATAAATATTGATAATAAATACTAATAAATACTGTTTTAATAGGTAATTAGCAAACTACCCTTGTCTAGCTTATATTTTCTAACACACCCCTTAAACTAGACAAGATGACAGAAAACATCAACACCGAAAACAAAATCAGAAACATTTATCACCAAACATATACACAACCATGCACTTCAGAGCTTCTAATTTATACAGACTGCTTCATTAGAAATATTGCTCAAAATATTTTCATTTGGTACATCATCACACATGTTTAATGAAACAATATAGTCATCCACAAATTCTTTGTCATCTTCTTCAGTCATCAAAAACAGTCTCCTCGGACTGTTTCACAACGGTGGCATCTTATTGACTATCATCTTGTTGCTTCTTCCTGCAAAATATGACCATAATTGTGGCAATAATAACACTATTTTTTTGAAAAAGGTATTTTTTTCCTTTGAAGGATCTTTCTCCCATGGGAGTTCCTCCATCATGATCATCCTTGTTTTTACCTTCATCACAATCATTTTCAGGTTCTTTCCTTTTCCATTTGGTTAAAACTTGAAATCCTTATTCAATTGGGGAATCGTCAAATTGCCTCATTCTCAATTCATGAGATTTCAAATGTTGTGATATATTCTCCGAACTTAACGTTGCCTTTCGTCTTCTCAATGGAGTTAGGCCTAGGAATCATAGAACAGAGAAAAAGGCTCTCAGTCGTCATCTGGGATGGGCTCCCGAAACGAATCTCCGACAGTCAAGTTAGCGACTAGTCGTGATAGTATAGGTTAAACTAGAGAGTGAGTAAGTGACGATCCCCTCCCTTGGAAGAGGGGGGGGTTATTTATACATATCACGGAGGGGATAATATCCTGACAATACTTTTGATCCCTATTGGACCGACAGGACGTAGAGTCATCCGATTGGTAGATTGTTCCCTATTACAGATTAGCTTCCAGTGGTGTAGAGTCTTCAGGAGTCATGGCCTTGAGCATTACACATGTTTCTCTTGGAGACGACCGATACTGGTCCGTCTCCGAGTGGGCTTCAGTGCTTAGGTGCCAAGGAATAGTCATGAGATCGCGAGGGTGAGGGCGTGGTCTCGCTGCTAGGCGGACATCGATCCTTGACTTTCACATCTATCAGACATGAGCTCTGTTATATTTGATGTATTCTTGATGGGATACGTCAAAGAATACATATTCTCGATGCTAGGCGAACATCAATCCTTACTTACAAGGTGAGTCTTCTCACTATACTTACCTGAGTGGTAATACTGTGTGATCGAAGGGTCTTATTTGAGTTATTAACTAGAGGGTCCTATGTG